AGAGGGGGGGGAGGGAGGAAGTTTTAATGATGAAATTTGCGTTCACTAATAGTGACATATCACGCAAACACGACAGATCTTGCCAATAGATTAAAACAATGATATAAGAACGGAACACCATTCGTATAGTAAAGTAAAGCAGTGTTAACAAAAAATAATTATATATATATATATATATATATATATATTCTGTAGAATTATACAGATAAATTATTACTCAATATACGAGGGCGCGCATTATCATTGAAGAAAGAAAGAATTTACTGTCCCCTAAATTAAATTCATCCGCACCAATGTGTGAAACGTTTTATAAAACATTAATGCATATACCACGTTTTATTTATTTTCACATTAAATATAACATTATTTTTATATAATATTTTTAATGTATTCGTGCATAATACTTTCTTTCGAAGTTTTATCAAAACAATTTAAGCAGTTATGTCAGTATATCGCTAAGAGATATTGCGCTATACGATTTTTTTTTTATATAAAATGTGTATGCAAATTTCTTTAAATATAAGAATTTTTTTTATGTAAGAAAAAATGAGAATTAAATTCCAACTAAATCAATTAAATTTCTATTGCATATGACATACTTGCAATTATTAGAGACAATTCAATTCAATTCAATTCAAACATGATTAATGTAATAAGGTAAAAATCCTCTATTTCATGTAATGCGGATATTTACAAAGAAATTTAAATTATTCGTCATTAAATCTAAGCTATTATAATGTATATATATATTGACGTGGCGATCAAGAGGATAAAAAAGCCGCATGATATAATGTGTATATGTATAAAGAGCGATAAAATCTATATTTATACATATTCTTTGGAATATGTATATGGTACATTTGGCTGGCTAAGAAATTGTACACATGTAATTATACAAAATTAAATATATCTTGCGCCTTGAAAGTTATATAACAACTATTACATTTTGCAAAATTTAGGAGCAATCGTCGATTCTTTTGTCTGAAAACATTATTTTCCTCTTTATTTGGAAATTTATAATAAATAATATGGTTTTTGTTTTATTAATAGCAGCTGTGCAATTAGAGATGATGAAAGCTTTCGTTATTTCCTTTCTTCCTGTAAATACTTGAGAGAAAGCTCCTTGATTTATTTTAGAAGATTTACTAATTACGAATTGAAAGCATTGACGTCGTGTAAATATTTGAAAAAGTTGGATTTGAAAGACATGCCATCTCTCACAGTCGATTTCTGACTGAGATGATATTTCACAAAATAATAAAAATTTTCACAATTGATTCGAAGCTGGGTTTCTGCCATGACGTACACCCTCCTTTCTACTTAAAATTGTGTTTTATATATAAAGTCAATTCCTAAACCTATGATGCAATCTATTTCTTTGATGATCACACGTGGATATATTTATCGCCATTGTTCAATTAAATAATTGAGAATGTTATCACATCAGTCACATTATCAGAAGTTGATCCACTAGTTTGAGATAATACATGTCAATTTTTCACGCATAGACTGATTTATCTCATTATTTTATATATAAAAAATATTAATATAAAATAACTGAAAAATAAATGTCAAGATATTTCATATTAATATCTCAGACAAAATATAAAATATCTCCTAAACTCCTAATAATTCTTTTATACAGAACTTAATTATAATTTTATAATTAATATAATATACATTAATGCCTTTGATGTAACATATCATAATTACAGTCTTGTACAATACAAGAATTGGAAATTGACATATCACAAAATCAAAAATGAAAAGCTAATAGTCATTCGCGAAACTTCAAACCGATAAAACTTATATGACTTGTAAAATAATTTTCTTTTATTCATTACAAAGAAAAATATTACAATTTTTATTATATTGAAGTATTCATCATCATCATCATCATCATCGTCATCATCATCATCATCATCATCATCATCATCATCATCATTATCATCATTATCATCATCATCAAATATTCTCTGTGTGATCATGACACAGAGAGTTATACGTCTGCCGTCCATGCCAAAGATCCAGGTTCAAATCCGATCGCATCAAATAAAATAAAATAAAAATAAAATAAACAAAAATAAAAAATATGTGATTTTATTCGTTGCTTATATATGGATATATTTGATGTCTGCTTGCTTATTAAGTAA